TTACTCAGTCTAATGTAGGTACGGCTTCCTTGTTCAAACCTCGAGGAATCGTGGCGCCAACGATGTTCTGTTTTATCTAGAAAGTTATTGGATAGTCTGGAAACGTATTGAGGTCAATGCTTGAACGTACTTGCTAAAAATAAATGGGCTAAAAATGTAGTATTGAATACTTCATTAATAAGAAAGTTGTGTCCGTTTTACTGCCTAAGACGGTAACAGGTGATGTGTTTATTATAAACAATAATCTGGGTTATCAACACAAAGGAAATTAAAAACTGTATAACTTACGAAAAAATTAAAAAAAAAGTGTATTTCAGCACAGAATAAAAAATTAAATAAGAATATATTAATTTCACTAAATCTCTACAAGTACCACGACAAAGTAGTATAATCTGTATAAAAGCCCGTCAGGTTAAAATGTCGTTCCGAAGTGAAAAACAAACAAGAAACTCAAACGTTAAACTTTATAAAATAAGTATTAAAATTTTAAAGAAATAAATAAATCACTCTTTCTATCTCATTAAAATCCGCTAATCGCTTTTAAATTAAACATTTCTATTCTATTATAGTAGCTTTACTGGTAAGAAATATATTAATTAATGTTTATTATAAGTACATATAAATTCTCTCTAGTTCTAGCTCCAAGTATTTCTAGTACATTCAACGTTATAATGACTTCATGTGACTCACGTAATTTATCTGAACCTCTACATACTTTTCCACTATGTTTCATTTTTACATAATGACAATAATTTTACATGTATCTATCTACCTTCCTATGGGACAATGCAATTTTGTTCCAAAAATTTTACAGAATTCATGAAAACACGTCATGTGTAAAATAATGTTGCCCCACACTCAGGCATTCCCCTGTGTTATGTCTTCCCACACCCACAACCACGCCCATCTGAGCAAAACTTTGTAGATCACATAAACGAATTATTTTGTACGGCGTGTTGGACCCGCGACCTATTGCACAGCAGCCAGTAGTCCAACCAGCAGTCAAAACAAAATATTACGTCATCTATTTCGCAAAAAGTAGGTACTAAATTGACTTCTATTAAAAGGTTGCGATGCGACGATCCTATTGTAGGTAACAACCGCGATTCGAGAACAATATCGATTGATTCCTAACAAAACATCCAGTAAAGATACTCCGTTTTCCCCTATATCAAATATAAGTGAACAAAACATTAATAAATTCACCTACAAAAGACTCAGACTAATTTGAAAGTTGATTTTGTTTTGAACAGATGCCCCACATCCCACATTATACTTTTTAAGTTCACGTAATGCCGGTGTTTGGCTCAACGTGATCAGACAACAGTGAAGGGCACGTGCCATTGTAAAGGCGGTTTCAGGTATGGTATCTACATAATTATGTAGCTCAGTGAAGAGATTAATATTGGCCTACTTCTCAAGTACTTAGTCGCAAGTGGTAAAGGTACATTGAAATACAGGATAGTTTTATATATATATATATATAGCTTTCAGCAGCTTCGCTCACAGCACCAGGGTAGGCTATATGTTCCCGATCCGTTCAGTATTTTGTACGTGAAAGGGTAACAAACATCCAACCACCCAAACTTAGAATCCTTCCCGTTTTTAATAATAAGTATTAAGTAGTAGGATTGGGTCAATTCACAATAAAGTCACTAGGAGTAACCAATTTTTATCTACTGTACTTAAAATTACTGAAAATGCTAAATCAGCAGTAGGTCGTATAGCGTAGTAGCTTCTTAGTAGCTACTCGTAGTACCGTTGTTATTTCAAGTTTAGGCTACAATGCTCTTAAATTATTCTCGTTTGCCTAACCATGTTCTAAAATTAAAGCTTCATTTAAAATGTACAATTTAAAATAAGTACCTACGTATCAATGCTTTTAACATAGGTACTTATGAAATAAGTTTCTAAAACATTGTAAGCAGAGGACTTAGGTAATTTAATATATTCAAAGTTTCTCTTTTCAAGTGTTATCTTAGATAGGTGCGTAAAATACCTACCATATCTTTAGGGTTCCTACTAGTTACTATAAAGTAACAACAATAATTCCACATAGCCTTCATTCACAACGCTTTGCTATCAGTCACGTAACCCATAGATAACTAATCGATTTATTGATATCCATGAAGCAATTGATATCGCGAACCACCATGGGGACGTACTCGACTCAGTTTTTTTCCTACACTTGACCATTGTCAACAATGCCATCGTGAATTTGCCCAACTGTTACATTATGTGCATTCTAAGTAGGTGTGGCCCATGACTAGACTACCGCAGTTATAGTGAGTAGTAAGTAAGTATAAAGGGAAATTCTTTCGAAATAGTTCAATGTTTTTTTCAAAAAGTCTTAGGGCTTATAATTAGAAATTATATGCCTAGACCTCCTCGCTACATTTTTCTTATGTCAGTGGTGTCTTAACAAGTTAATAAAATAGATACATTAATTCTAAAAATTGGTACTTGCCGGATTTCAAACCTATTAACCTCAACCTCCGAAACATCAGGACTTATTATTATTTTACAGTAGTATACAGTAGATCACGGAGTATGATTGTACTTACTCTGTTGAAGTAGATACCTACACAGATAATAAAGACTGAATCAAAACAGGAATAGTGGCTATCGGTACAAAATAAAAAAAATATGGCTTTTATTGAATAAATTGCATACCAAATAAATGTGAAGACTATACCTATATGCTGTGAACTTGTAATTTCTCAAATAACTAAGACTTACGTCACACACATAACAACACATTACAATATGTACCAAAATATCCCGTGAAGGAAAATTTCACCAAGCTATAATATTATTCAATCAAACTTAGTTCTATAGCGTATTGTATAGGTATTCCTTATTTGGCAGGGTGGCGATGACGTACAGTACAAACAAATTCGACTTGTTTACTTAGGTACTTTACTATAAACATCATTGTGTTTCAGCTGTGACGAGTTGGGTACCTAGTTAACTATTTACTACAGAGAAACTTAGGTATTTTTTTTTTTTTGTAACATGTCTAGGTTGTTAGTTGTAGCTTTTGACAACTTTATCTCCATTATCGTCGATTTTCAACGGGCCATAATAAAATTAATTTAATTTATTTTTTATTTTCAACTTAATTTAAACATACCTTCATGTACCATGTATGTTGTGATCATGGTGAACCCCACATCTTTTATGAACCCGGTACAATTTCATGTAATTTCGTCATTTTATCACTTAGCTGCCAAAGCATCACTGTTCAGGGTCGCCGAGGCCATATTATTACAATGGCATCATCTTAACATACGTATTACAAAATAATTGCAATTATTTCTTTATATTTTTACACTTCTACTTCTAGGGTTTCAGACTCTTACTGACTAAAGCACACCCCCTCCCCTCCCGTTACTTCTCCTACTCTAGGCCGAGGCCATGGTACCTAATTGCGCTGACCCGGCCGAACATCGGCCCTGTTTTGCAATCGGCTTCTTCCGAGCATGACTACTTCGCAGAAAGAGAAGGGAACAAGTGTGGGAGAGTCATGCTTCGGCACGAATGGGACCGGAGATGACCGGATGACCGGAGATCACGGCGTTGTGTTTCTTCGTGTGCTTGAGGTTACCGTAGGCACAATGCTTTTCCTATCCCTCCCCAATCCCAAAATCTCCAAATCCCTAATCCCGAAAGGATCGGCAACGCACTCGTTACTCCTTCGTTGTTGCGGGTGTCCATGGGTAGCTCTGATCGCTCACCATCAGGTAAGCCATTTGCTCGTTTGCCATCATATCACATAAAAAATAGCAATAAAGAGAAATGCTAAAATTGATGGGGTACAATACAAGAAAACTTTTGAACATACTGTGTCGCATATTTAATGAAACTACGAAAGGAAACTCAAATAAACACAGAAATATATATAAAATAAAGTTTATTTTATTGGAAAATATATAAATGAACAGTTTTAGTAAATAAATAAAACATAAATTACCTTCAACTACTACTTTAACAATCGTCCTTTTAATGTGATATAATTACAGATCATAAGCAAAAGCGTAATATATTTGTTTGTTTATAAACTCGACTCGCAACATTTGATACGTGGACATTTTATATTGAAGGAACCATATAAATAGATTACAATCAAAAGCAATCAGTTATTATGTTCAAAGTCAGGCACTTTTGAACACCAGGCAACAGAATTTGAGTCGATCATTTCTTTTCGTTTTTCGAATTGTCATTATCGACAAATGTCTATAAATTTTATACAAATCTTGTGATTTTCTTTTTGTGTCTGTAGTAGAATATCTGTTTTTTATCAGAGGAAACTGCGATTGTTTAGTGAATCGTAAAATCAATGACTGAAAAAATAATTTTCTTTTTCAATGAACGATGATTATGAATTCTATAGGCTTTATAGGGGATTTATTGTAAGTCATTAGGGTTTATTTTGTAATGAAAGGTCTCGTCTTCGTGTATACAAAAGTTCAAAACTTCGTTACTAAATAAATGCGAAACGAGCACGTTTCGTTACAAAAGTAACTTTATTCTGTACAGATAACAAATAAATACAGTTGGCAACACGAACCACAAAATAAATCTAATTTCCTGTTTGTGTTTATTTAAATGATTACTGTAAACGGATAACCTCAATCTTCAGCGCAAATGTTACTAAAATTAATTTCGTGTTATCAAAATAAAAAAAACTTTAAATACTTATTATAATCTCTACAATTGTGACACACTTAAATATAGATTGCTGTGCACGTTTTTAAATATCTTCAAATAATTAAAATATCATGGGTCACGTTTTATTTTTTCGGGCAACACTTTTTACGATTACAATGTTGCCAGTTTCAAAAATTTGTGAGATCTTAAAACGATAACATTTTTTATCACTTACGTTTTTAAATACAAATTTAATCTTAAAACAGTTAATGTTAGTGTGAAGATATGCATTAGGCACAATGAAAAGGAAGATTTAAAATTAATTCCCTTAGAATTGATTGTCCCTAGTGTTATAAACAACATCACGCTATAACAACTACAAAAACCGCTCTTATTGCACACACGATAAAGATCAGTATTATACCTACATATCCCATATAAATATATCTTGTAACATACTTAAGGCTTGCATCTGCGTATCATTAGAGGCAGTTAGATCAACAGTGACGTATTTTGCAGCTTGTAGTATTTTCAAACAGGATGCATTCTCTGGTGGAAGCTTATGGCATACTTGTGTGAACGTAGCCTTAGCGTTTTCATAGTGGAAGACTAAAGGATCCAATATGTCTGCCAAGTCGGCCTGGGTTAGCAGGCAACATAGGTGAGCTAGCGTTACACATAGCTGGAACAAATTATACACATCTTAGTAATAAGTTATGTTTTATTAATGGACTAGTGAGGTAGATTGATATCAATTAGATTTTTAGGTTTGATTATGAATTTCGTAATAAGAACTTTTAATGAAACTATCTAAATTAATTAAAAATAACGACTTACTCACGTTGCAGCAGTAGGCTGCGCGACGTCGCCGCGACGAGCACGCTGCTCATAAATAAAGGTCAAGAGTCCCGTTGTGACTCGAAACTAGTAGAGTGTGCAATAAATATTGAGTATTGAGAGCTTTTCTCAGTCAATTCACGTGAGTAAGTCACTATTTTCAATGAATTTAGATTGTTTCATGATAGATACTATTCAAAGGTAAACTAAGTATAGAAATGTTTGTTTTTACTAGATTTTCATAGCAAAGCATATTTCGTTTGTTAAAACGTGTTATGTTATTCGACAATTTGGTTTACTTTATTGTGTAAAAAAAAGTAACAATATAAATCACATTACTAACAGAATAAGACCTCACCTGTTCAATCAAATTATCTTTGTGTTTATATTCATTGAAGTCGTCTACGTCAGCTGCGTTCTCCATTGCTGCGAGTACGCCGCGCCACACGAGTGCGTAGTGCTCGGCGTATTGCGCACGCGCACTCGGCGCGCGTAGTGCCGCCGCAGCGTTTATACGTACCTTGAGGTTCTTACACTCTCTCGTTAAAGAACATAGGCTGGAGAATACTTGATTCTGTAGAACAAAATGAAAAATAGTTTATCATTATAATACTTTGTTATTTTTCATATAGATGTCAGCTTCTAAAGGTCAAGTGTCATTAGCATAGGAAGTGTCGCCAAATAGGTCGTAAAATATTATAAAATTAGTCGAATGAATATGGCTTTAAGGTGACGTTTACGCTATGGCGTCTATACTAATATTATAAAGAGGTAAAATTTGTAAGTTTGTACGTAGGAGGTAATGTTTGGAACCGTTGGTCGGATTCCAAATTTCTTTCACTGATAGATCACAATGTTTCTGAGTGCTATAATAGGCTTTCAATTATAATAGATTTGCGTATGTTAGTCGAGCTACCGCTTTAAACGCTGCTGTATTTCAAATGCGCGAACGGAAACTTAGGATTTACAAAATACAATGGAATTGAGAACCTCCTCCTTTTTTGAAGTCGGTTAAAAAATAAATAACATCTCACCTGCCAGCCACTAAAACAAGTGAACAGCTGTCCGTTCTTCATTGCAGTCCCCATAGCGTAGCATGCGTTCCATCTTACTTTCATATTGTTCACTTTACACGCGCAATCCATTAGCTTTCCAATTGCTGTCTCACATAAGGTCCTTAATTGCGTGTTCCTGACTAGATTCTCATTCTTTATCAAACGCAGTAGATTACCAAGGCCACGTGTCGCACTCATTTTTACCTGAAAGGAAGAACATTGTTATATATCATAGTAATTTCTACGAACAAATAAAATGAGACAAATTAAATGCTAAGGGGCTATCCACAAAGTACGTTTCACGTAAAGGGGGGGGGGGAAGAAGGGTGATGGTCGACAAAGCATGTCATGGTGTCCTAACAAGGGGTCCTAAGCTTCGTGACATCACATTTAAAAATTTTATATATCTAGATGTACTAATCGCGTATTTCGAAATATAAATTTACACACTAGGGAAGGGGGGGGGGGGGCTCTCTGAAATGTGAGATGTGTGTACGGGGGAGGGCTCAAAAATCATGAAATTCAAGTGACGTACTTTATGGATGGCCCCTAAGAAACTATATCGGAAGATCAAGATCAAGGTAACCTATTTTTCCAGTCTGTGTGGGGTCATCGAACTTCTAATTTTTAACACCTCCAATGGAAAATCAGAATGGCATGACATTAGCATGTAAATGTGTCCGACTAGTACACACATTTGCCATTCGTACAACATTTAAGTATTAAAATTATTTCTTCGGTCTTTTCAGTAACTTTGAGTGACTTTTTTGGTTTTGCGGGTTCATTAACCTTCTTGATCATGAAATTCTTCAATTACACCAGTACCTTAGGTGCACAACTACACAGCTGTTGTCATACATTGTAACAAATGCAAAATTCTATACAAAATTGCGTTTAATGTAGGTTTGTATATCAACTATAGATATTTCGCACGAAATGATTTTAAAACCTTCAAGCGGTAATTTAAATTTCAAATATAAATTACAAAGTATAAACTGTAAAAAGCACATCCTGTATGGATAACGGGCTAAAAACTTTCCATAACTCATACATACGAGTATGAGATAACAAACATTTTACTACTATTAGTGCAAGTCACATAATTGTGACATTGTCCACGTGCGGTGGGGACCTTATGTCGGTTTACTGACCCGAGACTACAGATTAGTTATTTCCATATTAGATATCTCTGTACATAATTAACGGTAGTCTAGATAAATGTTTAAATCGAGATAAATGATAGTCTTGACTTAACAGCATAACCATATACATTTGCAATGGAGAGGAACCGAACCATAGAAAGAATCTATGCTCTTTGATTTGCGCATGATTTCAATAATTTAATGAAAATACCAATTTACACGCATCATACAGGAGTATAAAAAGTCGCTAAAAAAGATCTGCTTTTTTACGCAACATTTTTGCGCAATTTGCGCAGGGGCGATTTCATCGAAATAATTTTTCTTTCCTTCTTGCTCAATTATTTTTGTGTGTTTAGATGGGATATAACACCACGTGTTCTAAGTGCGAATAGTACTACTAATCACTTTTAGTACTACACTCTCATTACCACTTATTTACATTGAGGTGATTTATATTTTACTACCGATATCAGTCAATTAACTAACATTGAAACGTCGCAATAAGTTTTTATATGTTTGTTTTATTTTCTAAACAAATATTCTTAACCTATTGACTGTCGCACTTTATTATTTATCTATTGCCCACCGCACTAAAAAAATTCGAATTCGTGTGAAATTTTCTTTAACTTTATACGATTTGTTAGACAAAGTTGCCTCGAATAACGTGACGTACTAGGCACGTTTTGGATTGTTAATGTAAGGAAATTTGGTGGTCAGTGTCAAATATTATAACACTTCTCAACACCACCCTTACGGTTAAAGCCTTTTGGCATTAAGTGCACCTTTGTATGTAACACATAAACTGTTAAATCCAAACCCAAACTATCTAAACTAATATTATAAATGCAAAAGTTACTCTGTCTGTCTTTTCTTCACGCGTGACCTAGCTACTGAACCGATTTCTGTGAAATTTGGTACAGACATAGTTTGGAACTCGAGAAAGGACATAGGATAGTTTTTATACCAAAAATTTGGCGGAAGTCACTATTCCACGCGAACGGAGTCGCAAGCAAAAGATAGTAAATAAATATATTGGGTTTCTAGTTGCTCTTAAACAGAACTTTCAACTACTTAAAACTTACACGAATTTTCGTCTGATCTTCCATTCAACACGTAACATGCGCAACGGAGACATTTCATAAAATTTTGGCTACAATAAAAATGAACCAAAAAAGGTCTTAACCTTAACACGCAACGAAGGATCGCAGTACAAATAGATAAGGTCAAGCGTAAGACAGACATACTAAAATGTTTTATAAATAAATTTGACCCTATAACCGTTTAGGTTTATGACGATGTTACAGCCTAAACAATCATGAATCATGCACGTGATTATATTATTTTTATAAAGAAATATCATTCAAAACATGAATGATTTATGCAGAGACGCAAGTTACTTGCGATAAGAGGATCGACATCTGAAATGTTGCTAGATGTAAAAATATCCGGTAGTGTTACCTTATCGTTGTCCGTTGCGCACTGTATGCTAACCTCGAGTAGGCGGATCAGAAGAGTATCGTCGATGTCGTCACATTCCGGATCCTCCCTGTTGGATAAAGATGACACGTTTTAGAATATTAGGAGATCAGAATTACATGATTACGAAAAAAAAAGTTTTCAAATAGGTATGTTATTAGCTGTTTCATGGTATGCTTTACCATTTTAAGTTAGAAAGAACGTCTTTTGAATCTAAAGAACAAATTTTATAGTATCATAAGTCAAGGACAAAGAGCCAATGTTTACATTGATTTTTCTCATTTCCCTTCAACGAGGAACTCGGTTTGACAACCACCCATCCTCTACGTGTTGAGCATGACTTCCAATTACATGTAGGTAATTTAAATACATATATTATGTACTGTATGATTCTCAGTTCTCATCTCTAGATTTCATATTGATACCACATATAAAAAATATTGTTATCTCCATTAAAAAAATGGGACTTCCATAACTAAATTCGATATAATAACCGAAAAAAAAAAGTTTGTCAGTAGGTATAGATATTTTCGGTTGCCATGTAGAGCAACGTGCGACCACAAGCAAAGCTAAAACAGTGACGTATGTGATCTTTGACATTAAATTGGGAGATTCCATTATCTCGACAAATAAAGCGTAGGTATTACTACGTCTACGGTCTTAGTAGGTATATCTATGTACTTATGATACTTGTTCCGATTTTTAAAAAAATTTTAAAAAATCGAGTTTAAATGCAATAAAATATTTGAAAATAATCACACATTTATTGATTAATTAATGCTTGACTACAATAATTACGTTTAACTATCAAACTTTTTTAACTAATCTTCAACAAACACCTATGCGATTTGACGGAAAATAATACTATGATGGCGTTGTAATTACTTGTGATGTCGTGTTTCTAATGCAAAATTCATAAAATTGGTATTTTGTTTTTGACATTGCGGTTGTCAAATATAGTTTTCTTAGAAGTTCTTACGTTTATTTAATTTAATTATTGATTTATCAGAATCAGTTTTACATTTAACATTAGACGTGACGTTAACAGATAGTATCAGTAGTTATTGATATACATTTCGAATTGGAAATTTTTAAGTGTAAGAGAGCTGCGTTTCAGCATGAATGGATGGGTTCGACCGGTCTCAGAGTAAATCGGCGTGAAAAACGTCAAGGAAGGTCCAAACCTTCTTTTCCTAGAAGAGGTGAAGATTCCCTAAATCTCCGAAACCCTAATCCCCAAAAGACCATTCCATTTTCAACCATGTTCCTCTATAAATAGACTCTTGTTTAGTCTAATTACTATAAAGAAGGACTTACAAGTTCAGAACGAGAGCATCACAAAGGTTGCCAAGCGCCCAAGCTGCCTTGATTCTTACAACCGTGGTCGGCTCTGCTAGTGCACGCAGTACATTCTCGCCACAGTCACTGACGAAACATATATCCTTTAACAAAAGTTTATAATTAAGCAAAGAAACGAAAATATTTCACCTTTACTAGTTGGTAGAATAGAGCAGTTAAAATTATTAAGTACCTATTAAGATTGAGTCTCGATGATGACTATTTGTGCGTTGCTGTTTTTATTTGTTATTTTTTATGTAAGCTACCATTTTCTACAAGTTTTTACACTACCAAGTTGGTACTAACATAACAAGAGGTAATTTTGAACAATCAGTGAAGCTGGCAAAAATTTATCGTCAAGTGGTCGATAGCAATGCCACTAGCAAGTTCCTTATTACAAGTCCAAGTTTCCTGACCTTTACCTATTGGCAGTGGTGTCTAAATGTAACTCAGAAAAAGTAATATTGCCTCGAACCCGTACTTTTTTATAACAAGCAAGTGCCTTAACCTTCGGGCCACGAAGATTATTAATTTATTTTTTCTATCAGCATTTAATCAACTCTCAATTCGTTTCAGAAATTGATTTGAACCAGGATTAAGACAAACAAACATCACAGCAGGGTTCAATTGACCAATTGACCCAATTTCGTGGCAAAATGTTTACCAACGTATTAACACTTATTGCAACACGTCATAGAGTACAAATTACTGTAACAGTTTAATTGAAATAAATCACGTTTCAGTGTTGACATAATGCGCCGAGTTCCTTTTTACTTGTGACGTTCTACTAAAAAAGCTTAAAGTGTCATACGCGTCATTAACAACTACGTATTAGGACTTACAACATTACAGGTATAGTGTTTTATGGTCAATATATACTTATTAATACATCATAATTATGACGTCACAGCTTCATACAACTTACAATTGAACACTGTAGCCACATTCATACACGTGATTTGAAAGAAAAAACTGAACTTAAAGGTAACTGTGTGAAAGCCATGTTTCGGCGCGAATGAACCAGCTCGACCGCAGTGATACCAAGGCCCAATAGAAAACGGGCCTGAAACAACGCTTTGGTCGTGTTTCGCCGTATAGATAATTGGATGGTCGTTTGCCGATTTATTTGTCATTAAATATGCGGTACATCACTTGTAAAACCCCAAGAACTAAAAGCCAAAGTACCACACAGATAAGCTTGAAAAATAAATGTCACCATTAAGTGACCTTTACTTACTTCTCGAAGCGTTCGGTACATGACAAGCATAGCCAACGCTCGCACAGCGGCCGCGCGTACCGTCGGCTCCTCGTCACTGCACGAACCAATCAGAAGCGTGCAACATAGCACTTGAAGACGACGCTTAAGAAACATAAAAAAAAACTTGGTTACCGTTATTAAAGTGAGAACCATTTTTAATGTTATAAATAATATGTGTATGGTCCAATTCTTCCTACAGATTTAAATATTTTGCTAAATCGAACCGATGAATTTAGTTCACCCAATTAGGATCCGATAGTTTCCAACTACATGCAATACTTTTATTAAAATGTCAAAAACGATTCTTTTCTATTAATTTTGTATGAAAATCATAGCGTCTTTACATCAAATAGTATACTTATTCTAAAAAAATAGCATACTTATGCTAGAAAACATATTAAATAAAGTATATCGTCAAATCAATGAAGGAAAATATGATTGCATTTTAATAACTTGTTGTGTTGAAAACTCAAAATAATTTCCGTTTGAGAAAACCACGCTATTATGCATGTACTACACAAATGATAATGTTTTTTATCAAAATAACTAAATAAACTTACTGGTAACTCTTTGAAAGTTCTCTCCCCAATGTTGGCGATACAGTCGCAAACCACAGCCTTGGCTGGACTGGTTTCGGGGCATTGCAGGACGGTAGACAATGGTATTACTAACTTCTCCCACATATAGATGCAATGACTTAGAGGGGGTGGCTTGTTGGCTAGTTCTGTAATCAAAATAAGTTAAAATTGTTGTATATCATTCATTTGGCTATTCTTTTGTGAGGGGAAAAATCATCAAATAACTTCTCTCGCCCACGGTGAAGTGAGAGGTAGTGTCAGACTCTTACACTGACTAAACGACTCCGTTCCTCTTCCTGCTCTCAGCCGAATAATTAAATTAGATGGAATTGGCAAAATGCTCTACATAGGTTTGATGCGCGGTTGCGGATAACATCCATTAAATAGTGGAGAAATTTAGTATCAGCATTGCTAGCTGGTAAATCATCCATTATGGAGAGTGTTAGACTCTGTTACTGACTAAAAAACCCCCGTTCTTTCTCCTGCTATCGACTGAGGCCGCGGTACCTTACTGCTAGCCACGCAACTCCGGCTAACTTAAAAAGACTGGGTTCTCCACCAAAACGATCTTACCAACAACAATCACATATTCATTTCATTTTACTAAAAATAAACCCAGTCAAGATTGCCAGCGCCCCTGGAGCTTTTTTTGTGAGGGGAAAATCATCAAAATCTCCCGCCCAGGGCCGGGCGGGATGGAGTATCAGACTCTTGCTCGCGGTGCCTCATTGCGCTTACCCCGTAACCCCGGCTGCTCCTAGAGCTTGACAATCAGCCAGACTGTTATTTTAATTTAAGCTCCTTGTACCTTAACATGCAAATAAAGAGTTTGAATGTGAGTTTATCTTACCTAATTTTTGTATTCCGTCCCCGATAAGACTGATAGCGCTGGCAGTCTGCACCACCACGTCCTGGTGCTCATACTGCAGCAAGTCGCTGAGGATGTCGCCAAGCAGAGTGAGGTGCCTGTCCAGTAGTTCCTCTAGGTAGTGAAACGCTGCCGCCGACAGCACTTGTAACGACTCCAGTATTACGGGGATGGGTGACGGTTTGATTCGCTGCAACAATTAATAAAAGGGTATAGGCATAAAGTGAGGGTAAACCAAGTAAAATCAAGCAACCGGCGCCACCAATGGGCACCGGCGACATCAAAAAAGTTATGAGTGCGTTAGCAGGCTTTTGCAGATTAGGCTTTCAGATATTTAGGGATTGAGGTTGGAGAAGAATTAGGCCTCTGATAACCTTAATCACACGGCGAACATATTGTCTTGTGCCGGTTTTCTGTGAGGACGTGGCTATCACTCCGGTCGAGCCGACCCATTCGTGCCGAAGCTATGCACTCCTACACTTGGTCTTTGATTAACATGTCATCCTTTTATTTTTTATTTTTTTTTATTTAGTTTGTTTGTGTGTGATTTTGTTTTTTCGTTTCTATAAATATTTTAGTGCATCGCACTTGGTGCCGAATTTTAGTTTTTCTTTTTTCTGACTCTATTGCGTTTCTAAATGTCACTGTGATAACCAAAACAACTTGTTTGTGTACAATGTCCAAGGACAACTCTTCAATTGAGCGTTCTACGCAGATATTGCTTTCTGGAGCCGTCGATAGTAAATCAATTGATGGCTTTAAGTGGACCATTTTATTTATAGAGATATTTATTAAAATGCTGTAACTCGCAAAAATTGAGTAGATATGTACTTAGCTATAATAATTTTATAATGCGCCGTATTACATTACAGCTATACATATACTAGTATTATACAAGTTTAGATATGGATGCGTTTGTCAATCTTTCACGCAAAAATTTGGTATGTAGGTGATGTAGGAAGCTGGTAAAGAATAAATAAATAAATATCGGATCCGTACATACATTGTGCAGTGTGATAGAGCAGATAACAGAATCATCTTTCTTTGTTATAATTTGAAAAATTATATCCAATACCATTACATAACATTAAAATGTGTACCTATAGCTATTTCTTTACGAAATCAAGTCATGTGATTTTAAGTTTTGTGATTTATTTTTTACTACGTTAACCTTTTTCATTGCTTTGCACCTAAATTCGTAATCAGATAAACAAAAAAAATATTTACAATGACAATACAATTTACTTGATACAAATCCAGTTATATTCGGATTTACGATAAAAACTGGTCTAAAGTAAAAATCCGGATATTTTAATACTTAAATCTGGTTTTAACGAGTTCTTTGATAACAGAGTTCAGCTCTGAATAAAAGTTTACAAGCGACATTTCGCTTGATAGGGAGTTATCAACGTTGCTAAAAAACTTAAATAACTTCAGACATAATTTAGGCATTAACCTAATTGTTGAAGTGCATAATATCACTATAAAGTCATGAGATTTTTAAGTGGGAGAGCCAAGCCAGCTTCGGTTCGTACGGACCAGCTTGACCGGAGTGATAATACGGCCTCACCGAAAATCAGCGTGAAATAACCGTGTCCTGGCTGAAACCCGATTACTTTCCATAAGTTGATTTGTTAGGACATTACCCGCTTAAAAAACCTTAACTTACCATAATTTCATTTCCTTTCAATACCCAGCCCATATTCTTGCAGCATATATCTAGTATCCAAGTTCTAAAGTAATACCCTTCTACTTTATCGTCCCCACTTTGAACTAAGGGTTCCGCAGCAGTGAACATTTCATCGTCAGAATACCCCTCTTCAAAGTCATCGCATTCCTCAGCATCAACTTTATGCGTCGTAAAAGTAATTTTCGTAGAACTCATTGAAGTTGATATTTTAGATGGCACAGTATCTTTCTCTATTGCTTTTAGTACTTCATCGATTTTTGGATCGACGGATAGAACGCATCCCATTGTGATTAAGGCACCTACTTGTAGAGTAACAGCTAAAAAAGAAAGTGCAACTTAAAAAAATGGTATGACTCAATGAAACAGGTGTTAATAAGGCGTAATATTGTGTAGTGATGAGAAAACAAAACATATCAAAAATTAACAGTAGTCAGAAAAAAGTGCTTTTATATACCTATTGGGACAGAAAAGATATTTTGTTACTTAAGTAACTATAATTATGTTTCATTTCTTTTTGTGATGATGTGAATCCCAATGTTCTGACAACCACAGGTTCTATTCATGCCTGTTGTTTGAATAACATAAAAAAAGTATACTATAAGAATTTCTTATACAAATGTTATCTAAACTATCCTACCTCTATGCACCAAAAACTTTCTCGTAGCCATAACAAGTTGAGTTATAAGGCCTTCTTTCATTTTGTGATAAGGTGTCGCCTGCACGAGCGCTGCACAACACTTCAGAGCAACTATGATCACGGCGTGAGTTCGCTCGCTCTCCAAGATATTAGTCAGAACCTTGTGCAGGCAAACTATCATATAACCAAGAGATTCGGAGAACGGAATAAACGATGAACTTTCTTTTTTGCTGAAATTCAATATTAGAATATCGTTAAACTGATAAATGTGTAAGGTATTGGTAAGTATACAGAAATTTCAAATGTAGAGATTCGAATAATATCGTTGAAAAAAAAAACAATCTTCACTCCTAAGAGTTAAAACGAGTAGTTCGTTTATTTTCTTTGTCTTTTCTAGAAACCAAAACCCCAATATTACATCATAAATTTATTGAAAATAACGACTCAATTAACTTCAAAAAGATCTACTAATTTCTGGTCACACCGGGTCTCTTATTCGTCGCGAGCTATTGTTAATTCACGTAAGTAGGTCGTTACTCTCTCAATAAATTGAATACACTATAATTACAAAATGTGTAAAAGCAACCTTTGCAAGAGAAGGTAGACTTACCTAGTTTCAGCTTGAAATAAATACACCCTATATCGAGAAAGAAGTGCTAAAATAACACACAGTACACTCGACCGACTGCTGGCAATAGGATCGGTGACAGCGCAGTACGCTAAGGTTTTCTTTGCGGATTCCCCAGCAGACCAGTTAGCAGGATCCGGAGAGTCAGGAAGAAGGGCCCACCAGTAACCAAATATATCTCGTGTCTCTGTTACCTAAATTATAAAAGAAAAAGGTTTTCGTTATTAATTCATCAAACTTTTTGTTGTTGTTAGTTGTTCTATTGTTCTCGATAGAAGTCAGGATTGAATCCTTAGTAAACGAAACTTTAGACCAAAATATAATAAAAATATTAAACAATTTAATCCTTGTTAGCAATCATTGGTTGCCATAAACATCAATAAAAAGTAATAAGAGAATTGTAGGAGTGTATTATAATGACTAGATGGCGCTAACACTGCACAAAGGTGAATTTTGCAAATACTTGTGTAATTTATTGGAATCATATAAGGATACTAACTTTAATTAAAACCAGGAGAAGATTGGAAGCACTCTGCCTCACCCTAGACCTCAAGGCAATAAGTTTAACCTCTTTACTGTTCTCTACATCTGACATATCAGAATCACTTGTCAATGCCCAGTAGCTCTTAGCTTTCTGGGGCTCCAAGTAATGCTGTGCGGCAGGCTTGTATGCAGAATTATTATCGAAGTTGTCAACATCCTTCATAAGACTGCGATCCGACACTGGAATCTCTTTCTTCAAACTTTCCATTGCATTGTTCCTTTGCTTCCTTATTTTTTGTTTCTGGAATAATTAGTTAGTAGGATAATTATAATTTTAATAAGGGTGTAAGCTAAAATATTTCTCAGGACTTATTGAAACTGAAAATTTATTTACGTGAACACACTAAGAAAACCTCTGCTAGTTTCAAGTCAAAGCGGGACTTTTATTTCTATAAAGTTTTTATTATAAAGTCTTTATTTTTATAAAGAGGTAAAGTTTGTATGTAAGGGTAATATTTGGAACCGCTGGTCGCATTGCCAAAATTCAACTCAAATTTCACTGATAGATAGCTACAATGTTCTTGAGTGCTATAAATTATAAAACATCACACTACGATCAAATGGAGCCGAGCAGCGGGTGAAACTGTGCGACAGTAACTAGTCTACTATATAAAAATAAGTAGGGTTTTCCTTCAGAACTCTATGACTCTAAAAAGCACGAACCGATTCCACGGTTTTGAATTACTTGGACAACTCACGGGCACCGTGAGGATTATAGCAAAGAAAATTCAGAACACAGATCACAGAAAAGCGGGCACTTGAAAACGTGTAAAATCGACATCCAGGAGGGCAGAGCCGCGAGCATCCGCTAGTTTTCAATATTTTTGTAAATCATGTAACTCGTGTTAAAATCATGTAACGATAGTTACATACACAAATTTGTAACGACGCTTTAACAAAATGAAATCTGCATTCTTTAACCAATGTCAGAGCTCTTTGATAAAACTTTCAAAATACAAGTGTGAATAAACTGTCAGTATTTTCAATAGATTTTCGACTTTACTGCACAAACCTTAGAGTTGAAAGTCTGTATATTAGTGTATATACAATACAATCCCAAATATCTTACCTTACCACCTTTAGTGTTAGGTTTACGCAAAACAGGTGCTATGGGAATGGTCTGTTGGGCAGGCATGATCTTCTCAGGCCGATTCTTCTGGGTAACAAGGCCATACATTATGCAGTACCTACAAATACCCATCACCTCTGGCAGTGGTATATTTATGTCCGGATCATTGAAGTATATTTGAGATAATACCCTTAGAGCTGCAATAAGTATCTGTAAAGAAAATGAAGTAAAAATAAGACACATTTTTTATTACCAAGGCTCCGTTCATGTTTCTTAATATTGGTATAAACTATAGACTAAAGTTTGATAGATTTATAGACAGGTGTACCATGATCTCTCTACATCACTCTATGATGGACTGGTAAGAATGTCTGTGGCATTAAGTCTGCCTATGTAACAATATGTTGGATCAAGAATAAATTAATAAACTACAACAACAAAATCTAACCCTACAAATAAATTGAATTGAGGTGATATATTATGCATTTCACTTTAACATACATTGTATTTTTCAAATTTATAAGAAGCCCATATTTCCCACCTGACATCCATAAGAAGAAACATTGATACAAACTCACTGACCACAGCCTTTTAAGTCCAAAGAAAATTTAAAAAACAATAACTTACCTTACAATATAGAAAATCATCTTCAGACTTAGAATATCCAGCCATTAAAAACTTAACAACTGTTGAGGACATATGTTCCTTTATTTCCAAAGATATATTCTTATCAGTCTCATTTTTATGTACCTCATCCACAGTAGACATAACACAACAGATACATTTCAGAGCCATCAAATGTATATTTTGCAAACTATTTTGAGACTTTGGGAAATATTTGGAGGAGTCTATAAGTCTGATTAAGACCCCTTGGACACCAATTAGGTCTTTTATGAACTGAAACAGAAATAATATTGTAATAAAAAAAACAATAATAATTTATATTTGTTAATGTCTATGGTAGATAAATTTGAGACACAATAGAAGGAAAATTGAGAGAATGTTCCCTTGGAGTGTGATGAATTAACTGACAAAATGACTTTTGCATCATTTTAATTTTAATCTTAGTAACATTGATATTTGTCAGTTGTCTAAATCATGATAAATTCTAATAAAAAAAAATATTATTTTAAAATTGTTTCAGTATTCAGAACTGTATTGGTGTTGATTTAAAAGAAAACCGAGACCAGTATATATATTGAAAGTGACTCATCACTTCACCAGTAATGACATACCTACAGTATTTTGGTATCAATAAAAAAGAGGGTACCAACCTTGTGAGTTGCCTGTGGCTTGAGTTCTATGATACATTGTAAACTATGGAGAATATCCGGCAATACAATATCTGTGCAATATTTCAAACATTCTATATGCCACGATATTACTTTCCAGAGATAATCTGTTTCAAATTCTAAATTTTGTTTTGTTATTAAACTATTAATTAAATGGGAGGTCTTAGCAGCTAAAAACTCATCGACTGGCTTCACATTAAGGCAAAGAGCTGTTACTACAGTGGCAGCATCCTGTAATGTAGGTATAAAAATAGTCGTAATGTACCAAGAAAAAAACATTAGATTCAAAGGGGCTAAAACTACATAACCTAAAAACTTACGTGTTTTCTGACGAAAATCTCTGCTTTGTAAGGCTTAGCGTTCAAGTCGTCTATCAGTTTATTCACAATTTCTTTATTGTATTCTTTTAAATAAAGTAAATTACACAGTTCTCCACTTATCAACGAAAAACTTAGGGAATGGTGTGTATTATTCATTTTTCTATGTTATTTTTGGACCCTAAGAATATTATTTAACACCCTACACAATTAACAACATCAACTAGCTTCAGGCATTACGAAACAATGTAGGGTGCAATGCTTTTTTAGAAATTTAATAAAATCAAAACAGATTTTTGGTGTTAATTTATTGTAAATCGTACAGTTATCTGTCACAAAGATGACATTAGGCGGTTAGCTGACAGTGACATCCAAAAGATCGTTTATAAACGCACTGTATAAAAACAAATTACAGCGTGGATTAATAATGATTACACAAAATAAATTCATGTAAATTGATATAATCCCTATTTTTCTACTGTATGTACATATTTTAAAATTTCTAATTAGTACTTTATCAGATACAAATAACACAAGACGTCCTGTTAAATAAAAATAATATTTTAATAAATCGGTGTATCTGGCAATTGGTTTAAAAATGTAATTGATGAATGCAAAAAAAATAAGAAATCACAAAATTCAACCATTTTTCATAATATGTCTAAGTTAAACCCTAATATCTCTAAAAAAGAACAAAATAAATCTGTCCATCCTTGGGAGAAAGATATCAAAGAAGCTTATTTAGCAACCTATAAATATGGCCACAACACTGCAAGAAATCCCATTATTTACCCTCCGCCCAAAGTTCCTCACGAGGTCGACAAAGTTCCTGATAAAAATCGGGTGAAATTTACTGTGATTGGTAACCGAGTCACGAAAGAATTTATTTACTGTATGAAACTAGTGAAAGGACTGCATAAATACCGATCGAAAAACTTCGACGTTCCAGACATACGAGGTAAGCAACCCAAATTCAGTAAGGACATAAACATATAAATATCTATTTAAAAATGACGCGATTTTGCAAACGTTACTAATTCTGTTAAAGTAGTGCTAAAAGAATTCGGAGATGATAGGCACTTTTACGGTAGGGCAAATGATTGGATAGATTGGAGTGTCCTAATGGTAAGCTATTAACCCCATTTGAGGACCAACATTTCCAAGATTTTGTTGAAGAAGTTGGTGATGTGATGTTATTTGACCTTTCTATTTTAGCTGTAACAAGCGTGGAATGGCCAAAAGTATGGAATGATTTGAAGATCCAGTTCGGTGGTACAGCATACTGCTTGAAATCTCAAGTCGCGGTCTTAATGAATGGGCAATTCCTCGGTGGAGACAAGGATTTAAAAGAATTTATTGAGTCAAAATATGTTTTCTATTTAAAACCTGATTATTATAGCGAAGCTGTTAAATTATTCTGCGATTTTGTGACATCATCGGGAGTTAGTACCTACTTATATTACCTACTTCATTGAATCATTTTACAAAAAGTTAAAAATTGTGAGCTGAAATAAAAAAGACTTGTGTGATCTTCAGCTTAATTCTCATGTCTAATCGTCACTAAGTACCTATATCGCGCTGAACATATCAAATACAGAGATGTCATCAGGACCTACAACATATTTTTTGTTGTATCATTGATTTTATGCCTACACAATAGGTACACAGCAATAGTCGAAAATACAGTAGTGGTAGAGAGACTCCGAAACAAATCATTGTTAATTTTAAACAAGGTTGTGTACAAAGGGGATGCGATAGGAAGTAATTAGAATCCTATGTCTTCCAGAGACCATGTGCGTATTTCCAAGTTTCCATTGATGAGGAAAAAATTGGAACAATGATATTTATGGTAAGTAGATACTCACTCACTCACGAAAAAGTGTAAGCCTATTTGATATAGAACTGCATACATCACCTATTTATGCTTACCGGTGTTGAAAATAATGAGATCGTAATTTTTCTAGCTATACAGCGACATAGTCCCTAGAACTTGCGAAAATTTCCTTCGGTTGTGTAAAGAAAAAAAGGCCGGTTATTCGGGTACACCGGTACATCGTATAGTAAAAGATAGTTGGATCCAATGCGGCGGATTTGGACTCAAAGATTCGGGGCTTGACTGTGAAAACTTTATTGTGCCTCATGATCAACGAGGAGTTCTGGGCATGGCAAATGATGGCAGGTACGTCCAGTGGTCCTAACACTAATCTTTATTCCACCTCAATAAGCTAAGTAGGTAGCGTACCGCGCGTGCCTCGAAGGGCGAATAGACCACCACAGACGGGGCCCTATAGGGCTGATGTTCAGCCGGGGTTGCGGGTGAGTCACGGCGCAATGAATCACTGCGGCCTCGGCCCAGAGTAAGAGAAAGAACGGGCGGATTTTTAGTCAGTAAGAGTCTGACATTCTGTCCCGCCTTACCCTGGCTGGGAAATGGGCATTTGATGATTTTCCTCTGACAAAAAAGGTTTTATCTGCTACTCTAATACTGACAACGTAAAGAAAGTTTAGCTAGGTCTTACAATATCTACATTAGCGAGTCCGTACCACAGCCACAGTAAATGACATTTAAAAACTTTTAAAACTACTAGGTACTTAAAAAAGCTCGAATTTCAGACACGTCGATTGCTCCACACAATTTTTCGTTTTATTGCAACCGCAGCCGTGGATGGCCTTCAAATATGTCGCATTTGGCCAACTCATCAGCGGCGAGGAAACTCTTAAACGCATAGAAGAAGTTCCTACTTGGTACGAATCCCCGTCAAAGAAGATTGTATTTTACAATACTGGTATTTTAAATTTGGATTGCCAAGATATAGCGATTAATAAAAATACAACTAAATATCTAGAGGGGCACATTGAAAATCTTTACGAATTAGGAGAGTTGTTTTATGAGGTAGGCACCACTTTTAATAATTTTAATGAAATGAAGTTGTACCTACTGTTTTATCAAAATACTGGTCTTAATGCAGGCAATATTAGAGAAAGTATTTCAGCAAGTCGAATCCAAAAGTGCACCCATTGAAGACGTGTCTACTGTTAGTCATGGAGACACTGCAGCCGATTTACGAGCAACACGAAGGTTAGTGCTTAATGTGTAATTAGACTGAGAATACGTAATCTACGTCGCGTTATTTCTGAAAATGCTAATATTTTTTTGATTTCTTTAGATTTATACGCAATAAAGAAGAAATAACAACACAACTAGAAAGAACTCGCGATGAACGTAGCCCTTCAGTCCAGTCCAGTGAAAATAACTTCGACGCTGACAACTTTGAATACGATCCAGAAGAATATTCTTATAAACAAGCGTCTAAGTTGTTAAGTAGTAGCGAAAAGGTTAAACCAGACCAGCCTTACTACCTACCTTTTACAGATGTACCGTACATTGGAGATGTGGACTCCGATTTTAATCTCAGAAGGTTTGTATTATTTTTACTAATATTACAAACATCTTGAGCTTTAAAAGTGCATTAACTATAATATCCGAATCTGAATCCGAAAGTGAATATAATGATATGGCCTCACCTAGTTAGACAGATAAGCCAACGTGATCGATTCTGAGTCATTTCTCCCATGGTTGTATGAAGAAACGATTCTGTATTCTCTCCAGGTTACTCCAAGGCGACTACTGTTTGGAGTCTGACCTAGATAAAGAAGTTGATAAAAAGAAAACTATACAATCGAAATATAATATTTTTACTTTTCCTTCGGAAATGTGTGAGGCGTTTGAAACACCTCCTACGGAGCCCGGATCTCGTGAGAAATTTTGCTGATATTTGTACTGACTTTGTAAACTATTAGTTCATTACTCAAATCAATCTTATTTGCTTTCAGGAGAAAGTCTGGACAGTGAACAGCAATGGGAAATCCAGAATTATCTCAAGTAACGTGCTCTATATTTATATAACTACGACTAAAAAAATGTTTTCTCTTCTTTCCATAGAAATCCGCATATTATTTACATTTTATCAGCTTATATGGAACGTCTACTTTTCGCTAGTCATCTTATATTTTTTTATGCGATGGGGCACAAACGTGTGGAGAACTACAAAGGAATTACGAGTGCGTTGCCAACCTTAGGGTTACGAAGATCTAGACATTGGAGGGGATTACCTAAAGGAGGGTAATACTGGGCTTCCGGTAACCTCACTCACATGGCGTACCATCACTGGGTTGTTCCACGCCGGTTTTCTGTAGATAAAGCCGTGCATGTATATACACAGCTTAATCTTACAACATACCTAGTCTAAAGCAAAGACGCCTCCCTCGCGTATGTTTAGATCTTCAAAACTACACAACGAATTTTAATGCCGTTTTTAAGAAGGAGCTTCATGAGGAACTCTTATACGTATTGAAACATGCATAGCAGATAAGTAAGTAGAAAATATAAAAAAGACAGTCCTAAATATTTTGTTTATTCCTTTTCTAGGTCGAATGCCGACCGCTTCAGTTTTGCAGGCAGCGTTATAAAAGCGGTGGCTAAGAAGGGAAAATTTAATTTATTCGAACTACAGAAACAGTAAGACTTTGCATAAGTTATATCTAAGCTTGTTCCTTGGTCTCAGACTGAAATATAATAGTTATAAGTATAACTATATACTTCTCATCATAAACATAAACTTTCAGGTCGGATACAATCACCGACGAGATCCTACGGAAGTATAAGTAAGTTTTACATTTTTAATTATTACGTAGAATGTAGTCGGAACACTAGCATGATAAGTTATTAGGACTTAGGTATCATTTCAACTGCTGTTCTCAGTGCCTTGTGAGTTTTGATAAATAGTTAAAACCCTGCTATCTGTGATTAGCCTGTTTTTTAGTATACACATGTATCTAATGTTTGTTTAAATTCTGCACCGAGTCGTCATCCGCGCCCCACTAAAGTTTTTACAAGAATATACAACCTATTTTTATATTTAAGTACATTATTAATCGACGGCTCTACTGAGTCAGCCCACCAACAAACTGGATGAACCGACCAGCTCTAGATGATAGACTTTTGTTTACCCCTATTGTCAACCCTAAAATTTCAACAGTTATTTAAACTTAGCTACCTACCTACATACTTTATTTTGCTCTATATTTCAGAATGGTTGAGGAAGAATTCCGTGCTCACCAAGGGAAGTAAGTCACAATAATATTGTATTTAGTTATAGGCTTTCAATTAATGTAGGTAACCCAAGATGTTTTTAAAGTGTCCCTTTTTTAATGTAGGTATGATATACTTAATATCATACATTAAAAAGGGAATATGCATCTAGATTATTCTAGATGAATAGTTTATCTAGTTCATTTTCATACATTAATTAAGTACTTTTGAACACACTTCCTCAAAGTAGCTCTAATCCCATAGCAATAAGGCACATAGATAATGACACCTAATCAAACTGACTTTTTCCTTTTTCGTTACTATTATTCACGAGTTATTAATAGACTTTATTTTTAATTATTGGCTGAGTTATTCTTACATTCGCCCTAAAATGTTATCCGTGAAAAGTTCAAAAAAGGAAACCTCATTTTTTAGTCTGTGGCCGATGCGCGCGCTTATGAAAACTGATAAATTTTTCCCGCCATTACGAAACATTTTTCATTCTCCTCGTTTTCTTCTCTTTTGAAGTTATTTTGGTTTATAATTTCAGTATTATTTTATTTAGAGGTGTGTTGAAAAACGTCGCATGATACACACGTGTGTAAGTGCACAACACATTACACACTTGTATCATAATTTAGGGGTACTATTTTCAATGTAAATCCTCGCTCGCCTCGCATCTCTTACCCAGCTAGGGGTGCCCATGCACTATATAAGTATTTTTTACGCATTAATTACTTAGCTCGCTAAGATTTGGTGATCATTTATTACTTTTGGTGTTCGAAATCAAATAAAGTGTATCAAAGCATTGTATGGTAGGTAGTCATTTTAATTTCTTGCAGTGGCTATTTTATTGGCAGTGGCAGTTTTAAATTAGGTAGGTACCTAATGCAATGCATGATAAAAAGGACAAGTCACAAAATTATTATTTTTTGACGCATTCTATCAATATTTTGTTGGAGTTGTAAAAAGACGAGTTATTTTATTAGAGACCTATATCATTTTTCCGTTGCTTAATTATAAAACGTATAAAATAAGAAATTTAATTAATCACGGCTCTACTTGGTACTCATTTGGTGGCTAGACTTATAATTTCCCAACATTTTTTCATATTATTCCATCATAAAATAATGTAGGTAGGTACAACAAAACTGTTGACTATTTTGTATGTGTTTGTATTTTTTTTTCTTTTTTTAGAAAAGTATCCATCGGTCTACCATTTAGTGCTTTTGGCCATCATAAAGAAATAAAAAGACGGAATACTGGATTTGTACGTCCGGCTGATATGGCTAAACTAATCAAATCCCACAGTGATGTATCTGAAGAAGAAGATGAGGAGGATGACCTCGATGATTATCTTCCATACACTAGGTGAATGCTTTGCTGAGAAAATGTTTTGCAAATGTCTATTTTAGTGAATGTGATCGCTGCATTCGGTGTGCGCGAAAAGGCCACCACCTCGTCCGTTATTTTTTTCCGAACTTTAAACAGTTTCTAGTTTTTATACCTACATATATTTCAGATATATTATTTCCATGTAGACATAGTGAAATTATTATATTTAGGTTATAATGTTATATATTTATCTATTATATACTTGTCGACCATTGGAATAGGACGTTTTTTTAGAACCCAGTATCCGACATGACCCATGTAGGTACTAAAATTAAAAAGCGCCCACAAATCGTAGCCACTGAAATCATGTCAGTTATAGATTCTCATATCACACCAATCCTTCTTCTATCCCTCCCCAATCCCTAAATTCCCAAAACTCTTTATCCCCTATAGGCTGGAAACCAACTTGCAATTTCTTTGGGATTACCTACAGGTGTCCATGGTCGGCACAGATTGCTTACCATCGGGTAATCTGTATGCTTGTTTGCCGACGTATCATATGAAAAGTCATTGCAATTAGCCTCTTTGCGATTTTAATAGGCAATGTTGTTGTTTTATGAAAGACACTATCCGAACTTTTGTCAGACAAACAAAATGTCGGACAATTTCAAATGTCACTAAATACCCAAATGTATAAAATTCTTATCTTAATGTAATAAAAGACGATCACTGTCCTTGTCAAACACTGGTTCCGATACCATACATACCTACCTACCTGTAGGTAGGTATGGTAGGTACCTGCTTTTTAGTTTAAATAAGTCAATGCTCTTGTTGCTGTAAATTGCAACTTAGCCAAAATGGCTTAACCTATTGATAGCCCAGAAACTAGTCATAATTACCTAAAAACCTTTAATACTTAACTTCTGTTATTTTTTCAGCGTCTTGTATGTTTTATTTAATTATTGTTTTATTTAATTATTGTTTTAATACTTATTTTAGACAAATGCGTATCATCCAGGCTACTAAGTCGGCGGACGCAGACACTAAGGCTAAAACAAAAGAAAAGCTTTTAAAAGAACGCCAAACTGATTTAGATCGCAAGGATGACTTGGACAAATTGCATATTGATCATAAAAAGGATGACGCTGTGGAAGGGGATGGTGCTCAAGATGAAGATGTCAAGGAAAGGTTATTAAGCTAGACCTATCTACGTTAAAATACTATTTTTTTTAAAATAGCAGCCTATTCGGCAGTTTTCCCGTTCAACTGTCATACAAATAGTGATGAAATTACTAATAATATTTACATTTATTTACATACGTTAATTACTTCTAATATTTTATTTATATTTCCTTAGTATTAATAAAAAACTGCGCTAAAATACAATTAATATAATATTCTAATACAATAGTATAAAGCTAAATATGCACTTTAAATTCCACACTTGATAGGTTTGCAATTTGATTGACTAGGGTTTCATCAATTAAATACAAAATAAATAGCTGAAAAAAAGACCGTAATAATGACATTTTTACTTTATTTTTTTTAAGTAAATCCGTCCGGGTCGACGAATTGCCTGAGAAGAAGTTCCAAGGTTTAGCAAAAATAAGCTTTCGTGACCAGGACGTATCACGAGCAAGGTGAATAACTATTGTTAAAAATACCAATTATAAAATCAATATTATAGGTGAATTCACGGAATAGAAATAATTTTCTGTTCTGTGGGTGAATTCTTTATAATTGATAATTTCTATTGTAGATAAGTTTTACTTATTTTGGGCTCTCGCTCCAATACAGTAGTTTTTGCTGTCCCTATGTACATTTTTGTATAAGTACATACCTTTTTTTGAGAGGGGAAAATCGTTAATTTTTTTCTCCTGCCCTGGGTGGAGCGAGAGGTCAGACTCGTACTGAATAAAAATCCAAAAATTAGAAACAAATCTATTATTTTCCTTCTGCTCCAAGTCGAGTAGCGCTACATCATTGCACTTGTATCCACATCCCTGGCTGGACGTCTTTGGACACCGCTGGGCATCTGGGTATGGTTGGTGTGATGGATCTTTGAGGCATGGTACGCAACACGACGTACGCTCGAGTCTGGTTCAGAATGAAAGCTACCCTTGCTCGCCGTCTGCAGACCTGCGGTTTCGGTGGCCAGAGATTGTCGCCCGGTCCCCGACGCCCGGGGCGTCTTTTGCAGCGGCTGGGGCGTGGAGGATCGTTTACTAACGCCCTTTGCCTCCTCATTAATTAGCAAAAGCAACTTCATAGAACGAGGACACAGCTCTTATGGGGGAGTGCAAGAGAACACCGCCACCTGTCGCTTCTCTGAGAAAACGGCAGTGCCCCGCGCAAGAAGGCGTTCCACCACTGTACCTATACTCCATCGTGTCCTCCGAGTGTCTCTTGCAATGACTACTCCCGGGCGTTTAAAACGAAGCGACACTCCCGAGTCCATGCATCAGGCGGAAGATGAAGCCTCCGTGGCGCCTCTAGCCAATCCTCAAAGAGAAGGATCTTACCTCTGCGATAACAATTACCCTTGTGTTTATCTAAACACAAGGGTTAACTATCTAGTTATGTACATGCATTTTATAATTAAGTAATATCATAAGGTCTTTGATACCTATGCTCATTTCTCAACAGTCGGAGTAAAGCTCGATTCTCGCAAAATGAAGATATAGGGGACCGCCCGCAACGACCTTCTCTAATCGAGCGTATCCTAGAGGCTAGCACGACATCTAACGATCTGGGCCCGCCTCCAACTTTGAAGGAGTATAAGTAAGTTATATAATAAAAGTCGATTATTTCGTTATAGATACGATTTTAATAAATTTTATTCCACTTAGTTATAAACGTTTTTTGAGGGAGAATATCGTTAAGGGAGTCATATTCTAGCCGACTAAAAACCAATCCGTTGCTAACCCGGCCCCAAGCCGGGTCGCGGTACATTATTCCTCGTGCACTTTTCTTATAACTTAGTTTAAAGCTGGAATAAATATTCTAAAATATAAACTTTGTTCCCATTCTTTAATGAGTTTCCCAAGTAACACAGGAAGCACGTTAACAGACAAATAGTACACGTGTGTAGAGCTTAAGGTCTTTATAAAGTCATATATGATCTTACCGCGCATCTACACGCTTTATATTGACATTTTTAAACCATTATGATGCTTCACACTGTATAGTGGTTGGATAATAGCATATCGAAATGCTTTTATAAAACCTTTAGTTTTAGTGCAGCAACCCCCATTGCGGTTGCATAGCTTTCAGCCATTTTTAAGGCTTTTGGTTCTACAATAGCACTTGTAAGTAGTAAAAAAATGCTTAAAGCTGTTAAAAAGCTTAAACAAGAACCATTATAATGCCAAGTCAATCCATTATACAGCTATCAGTTGTTTTTAGTGCCATAGGTTCTGCATTAGCATTTCAGGTGGTAGATAAATGCTCCATGCTGTTTAATAACATTAACATGAAACATTATAATGCCACAAAAATCTGTTTTTACAGCTTTAAGCTATTCTTAGTGCCCTTTGTTGTATAGTAGCACTTTTAAGTGGAAGGTTAAAGCCTTGAAGCGTTAATCAGCTTAATCGTGGATCATTATAATTCTAGCATTGTTAAGGATCAACTGAATGCTGTTGTACAGCTAACAGCTCTAAAATCATATACACGTGAGTTATTGTAATGCGTAAAGCTATATACAATCGCATGTTTCTTTTGGTGTGCATCAAATTTAGATAAGATAAGTGCAGTGTTCCAAAAAATGATGAAAACACGTTTAAAACGAGGTTAAGAACCGGAGGATTCAGAAGGAATAAACAAAAATCATGATGTCTTCGATCACAGCAGAGAATGACAATTTGAGTGAAGTAGCTGGCAGTGATATTAATGAAGGTTCCGTAGACCATTTTTATAATGAGCATATGAGTAAAACGAGCTGTAGCGACAATGTAGAAGTGATTCCTAATAGTAATGACAAGGGCTCCAAAATCATCAGGCCGATGTTGAAAGAAGACTTGAGAGCTGCGACGACAGTGACAGTGAGATTAATTTAAAAAAATACGAAAATTATGCATTATTTCGTGAAAATAGAAGAAGATGGGCTATTCATAGAAATATTTATCAAATCGCGCTAAAAGATTTTTGAATGAACAAGGACCAAATAAAAAACGGATTTTAAGAAATGATTTTTATTTATAATATTGTCAAACATACAAAATTTGTTTCATACCCAAACGTACACGTACGCAGGGCGCGCATACACACACACCACACACATACATACAGGGAGACAGAGAGAGAGAGGAGGGAGAGAGAGAGGAGGGGGAGAGAGAGGGGGGGGAGATGAGATGAGATCAAATTGTTGGTAATAACTTCATACTCCACTAGTTCTTCATTTACGACGGTCCTCCATTATAGATAATTCTGTTTCGGCTAGCTGTTCTGATATTATTTCTTTTTAGAGTGCAGTCCATTAATTTCCATAGATTCTCCTCCGAAATTACTGAAAATAAAAAACTAAGTATTCAAACTATTGGAATACGGAAATCTATACTATAAACAACTGAAATGAGTTTTATTGTTTGGCCCAACGATCCCTAAAATTACGTTCATGTAATTGCACTATATTAGTCAACATCAAGTCTACTGGTATTCCGGTGAGCCCAAGTAGAACTATTTTATAGCCAATGGGATTTCAGTGTTACATCTAAAGTCTTCTCTCTGACCCCTAGCTCGATAATTGTTCACGCGTGACTATTTATACTGCTGGCGGCATTAGATATCGCCTATAAAGGGTCACCTGACTTTTATAAACTGTCGCCATTTTGTAAATATTATATAACCAAAAAATTGTACAAATTCTACCTGTTTATAACAACAATAGACTGATAAAATAATAAATAAACTTAATTTACTATACTGCCTAACCAATACAGTTTTATATATTGTGAAAAATTCGTTCTATTAACTAAAATTCGCGGGTTACTCACGCGGCGACGTCGCGCAGCCTACTGTAGGCTGCGCGACGTCGCCGCGTCCGCGCACGCTGCTCATGAGGAAGAACCCCTCTGTGGTTCGAAACTAGTAGAGCTTTTCTCATCATTTACACGTGAGTAACCCGCGAATTTTAGTTAATTTAGTATGTCTCACGATAGTTATTATAAAAACAATTATTAACAATACAATTCGTTCTATACAAAAAATTCACAATTAATATAATTATTTCACGCATTTTTATTTAATTTATAATATCAAAACCACAAAATATAGAAGGCGCGTGAAAATTTTCAATGAATCTTATACATTGACAGTAAACTGTATTGCGCAGTAATATTTGTAAGCATATAATACAAAAAAGAACTTACTCAGTATTATATTTTGTTTTTGTATCACTTCACTTAGTTTCACAACTTCACCGTCGTCCATAGTATTTATAAGTAGTAAAAGTAAAATGAGATCGTTAAATTGATAATAACATTTGTGCCATGGCATTAGAGATGTTTTTGCAATAACCCAGGGTTTATTCAAAATCTAATTGTGAACACTTAAAAAGCTTCCTTCATGCTTTTCGTACATTGAAATGCTAGTACAATGCTTTTGTAATGTTATTAACATCTTCATTATAAATAATATTACTTATATAATGCTTCTACAATGCGATTGGCTATTTCATTGACCGTTATAATGCTTCTTTAATGCAATTGGCACCTTCTTTAACCAAAATAATTCTAATATAAGGTGCCTGTGATGCTATTAAACAACTAAATGTGAAACCATTTAGGATCTAAAGCTGTATAATTTGTGCCCATTTAAGAGCTATATCAGCCGTATAAATGTTTATACGGCTTCTATAATGCTAACTCTAAAATGCCAAAAGGATACCAAAATACCGTACTGCAACTGTTATATGGCTTTGATGTGTTACTTGGGTTATCTGTCTATTATTATCAATAATCCATGTTTGAAACCTGAGGAAAACCTTCGCTCTCGTTCTTTAAGAATAAAATATTTTATTTATAGACCTTTCTTCGAAACTCAAATTAAAAAGAACAATTCACTATTCCTCACACATACCTCGCCGAGCAGACAATTACTGACGAATGATGAATCACGTGAAAATTATTTGAAGCGGCACTCTCTATCTATAGACATTCCCCAGAAATCCATAGATCAGGTACTTTTACTACAACACGGGCAGAAGGTGTACCGCAAAATATCTTCGGACTATGTTAGAACTATAGACAACATTGAACAAAAGCAAGAGAACTCTTTAAGAAGTTTGGAGTATGCCAGACAGCGGCCTGCGATATCAGTTAAAGATTATCAGAAAATGAACCAAGAATATCACGCTAAAGCAAAAGAAGATGCCAGTAGAGCCGCCATCGATAAGTCAGATGAAGCCAAAATTATAAGTGCGCTCCAAAGTGGTAAGTTTTTTAATTTGTATATACCTACTATTTTTGTTTATAATATGCTTATGATATGGCAGCAAACGAGCAGACGGATTAACCTGGTGGAAGGCAAACGCGCAGTCTATGGACACACGCAACACTAGTAGTGTTGCAAATGCGTAACCGGCCTTTTGGAGATAAGGGGTGGGCTTTTGCCATTTCTAGGGATTTGCAGGAGACAGGGGAGATGGCGGGAGGGAAAAAGGAAAGGTGGGCCTGCGGCTGCGGTAACCAATTCTGTGAAACACAATGCTGTGGCTGTTTGACGCCGGTTTTCTGCGAGTATGTTCTGTATTTCGATGGTAATATTTCTTGTACAAGGTCTTCTTGTATTTGCTACTTATCACCTACGATAAAAATGTTATGCGTGGTCTGTTCAACACAGTCATAGTAAGGGAAAGCTTTAAGTTTCGGAAATATTTCTTTTCATAGGAACTTCTCGACAAACATCGCAGTTTGAATCTGGTCTGAGACTTCCAGGGGACACACCTCTTTTCCAATCTTTGACAGAGGTAACATATTTATTTAGGACAAACGAGGTAACACGGCAGGCAATAACGTAGTGTGAATTATGTAACCAATAATGTTTTATTAGTTACAACTATGTCAATAAATCTAAACGCGCACGCTGCTAATGAATAACAGATAGAGTCCAACCGTGACTTGAAACTAGCAGAGCTTAACTCAGTTAATTCAAGCATTTATTTCTCCTTCTCCAAATTGTTCGTTGTTGGTGTGTTCTTCTGCCCTCACACAGAGGAACATGATGTATATTCAACTTGACCCGATATCGTCTCGGTGTAAAATACCCATAATTTGAAAACGCTGTCAATTATCTTTACTCTTTTCCCACTGTTGTATTGTTATCATTGTTATTATTGTCTGCCGTGTCAGGGGCTCCAAGATCGATAAAATACACGCAACCTCTTATTTCAGCTGCCTCACGATTAACGTCAACAACGTCATTTTAGAAAACTCTTTTTGCAACTGTTTAGACACTTTTTTATATTATATATTTACTTGTTTACAAATTGTTACCAATAAACCGATAAATAAAACAAACTTTTTAAATAAAAAAAAACGTTTTAATAACACTGAAACAGCACATAAAATTTCCCATCACAATATTAATACTACTAGGTACAATATAGTTACATCATCACAATGTCAACTTATGTACATTCTGTTTGTTCGGAGAGCTAATGCTTGTGCATAATGTACATACGATAAGTTCACGATACCGTTACTCTACGTTATTTGGTTACAAATACTCTTCGCGAGCGATCTGTCATGACGCTTATGTCTAACGCCCTCAAACCAAACAATTGACACTAGGAATCGATAAATATTCGAATTCACTGATCCACGAACCGACTAGCACCCTGCTTCGTTACGTATCACTGTACACACTTATAAATGTCCATGGCCATGTCCGAAGGCGCCATTGGGCTGCCCCGGAGGAGGCCGCGGCTCGTTATTGTTATTGTTCCCCTCTCCAATGTTCTCGGTGTTGTTGCGGTTTTCTAACTGCTGTTGCCACATTGACGCATAGAATCCACCTTGCGCAAGAAGCGTTTCATGGCTGAAAAAAAAAATTAATCAAGTATTATTACCAAAGTCAACAACTTTAATAAACTAGCTAGTTAACACTAGCTTGCCTGGGGGCTATTTTTTATGTTATTGGTAAGCATGTTTTAAATATAATTACAAAAAAAATATAGTAATCCAATCTGTTGCACAATTGCTATAAGAGTTTCGCGCTCAGTTTAGTGATAAATTATTATAAACATAATTTTTTAAACTACTCACTTTCCTCTCTCGATGATTTCTCCTTCCTTCAATACAAGAATTTCATCGGCGTGTATGATTGTGGAAAGCCTGTGAGCTATTATGATAGTGGTCCTGTTAGCACATACACGCGCTAAGGCAGCCTGAAAAATTATAACAAAGATTTAATTGACCCTTTGAATACAAAACTTGCTACATTAATTGAGTAGTACCAGTGTGAAATCTATGATTCCCTAGCCTCTGGTATTGCGAGGTTCAGGAGCGGCGCCAAATGCTTGCTATCAGGTTTCCCGCCTGCTCGAGCGACGCTTTCAATTATCAATTATCTCATAAAAATAGCATTGAACGAATTTTGTATGGTTTACCTGTATATTTCTTTCCGTGTTAGTATCCAGAGCCGACGTAGCTTCATCCAGAAGAACTATAGCGGGATCTTTTAGAATAGTTCTTGCGATTGCTATTCTTTGCTTTTCACCTCCACTTAATCGAAGACCTCTTTCTCCGACCTAGAATTAAAACAAAACGGTTTATAAGTAACTAACTCGTTGGTTGGGGTGCGGGTAGGATTAGTCTGTTGTCAGCCTACCGACATTCCCGATGTGGGTAGGCTGAGACGGCGCATGTGACTCGGTAGATATCATACACAAATCAAACTGCATGTTTTTGTTTCAGAATCCTAATCGCAACTACAGACTGCACAAGACACTTATTTGTTGAACCATTGTATAATTGGTAAGAAAATAATTGCAAATACTTGTTATTCCAAGATCAGCTTAGCTTCTTTTTGCAACTTCCATGCATCGGTGTTCGGCATCGGAAAATACCAGCGTTAAATATTCTCACGGTGTTACTGTGTTTAGTATCGTAAAAGTTATGAATACTTAACCAATTGTTGAATTTTGCCATAACTTTCGGTTTTTTAGGGACCCTACTGCGCAATCATACGGCCATTGTTTTGGGACATGTCTGCCACCCTGGCGCTCGATAAGAATTTACGCGTCCTAAGTGATGTCTCAAAGCTTTGCGAGCGCCGACAGGCTTCTAGAACGTGTGCCGCTTTGTATTTTTTGTACTCACAACACTACCTCCTAAGGCGAAATACAGATCACGACTGGCCTATATAAGAGACAGGCGAAGGGTGAGCGTCGTAGCCTACAAAGTGAATGGTAATTTTGGGCAAAACGTGTCCGCGTCAGTATACCTAGTGAAAACGCAGTTTTGTTGCTACCATTAGGGACTAGAAAATCCGTTCATCTTCTAATTCCTTATAAATCTAGAATATTCCAAAAAGTCTAGTTTAGGTTGTCAATAGGTTCTTACCTGCGTGTCATAGGCATCAGGGAATGTAAGGATCCTATCGTGAATGTCAGCATTTTTAGCCGCCGATATTATATCCGAGGCTGGTGCGTTTAGTTTCCCATATTGAATGTTATATCTGAAACAAATTGGTGACGTTACATAAAAGAGTATATTCGATAAAGTGCTTCCACGGACAATGGGACATACGGATTACTTCATAGAAAACAGAAAACAATCGGCACCCGCCCCTAAACACCCATTTCACCAGAGGAGTTTTGCCGGATTTCTGGGGGTTAATGATAAGAAAATGGGGAGTAGGCGAGAATAAGGCCTCCGATAATCTCATTCACACAGCGAAACATAACTTACTTTTATCTAATTTGGTATTTTAAATATTTACTGGATGTTACGACCTTGCCAAGCTTTATTTTTGATTAATGTAATAATGTCAACCCATGTTTCCCACGTAAGTATTTTTTCCCCATGTAAGTATTTTTTCTCTTATATTTTACTAATACAAAATCTATCGTAAGTTTTTGGACTCACCACTTTCTAATCACAGAAATTACCTGACGGAGTTGTTGAAGAGCACGGTGTCCTGTGGCACGACCCCGATGTTGGCCCGCAGCGAGGCCTGCGTGACGGTGCGCACGTCCTGCCCGTCCACTAGCACGGCTCCCTCGTTCACGTCGTAGAAACGGAACAAAAGACGCATTATCGTCGACTTGCCCGCACCACTCGGACCCACCTGTGTTTTACAAGCATGTCATTTTATAATCTCTAGTCAAAACCTGAGGTGCCCTCATCAATAGTTAGTTAGAAAGTACCTATTTTTGTGCACAGAAACGATTGGTCATTATATCAATTAACGGGTATTTATATTAGTACTTTTTGGTAAATAATGATTGTGCCTATTAAATTCGCTTCAATTCACGGGAAGGGGCCGATTTTGTGCAAGGCGACGAGGGTCACAGCCAAAAAGGAGTTCCATTGAACAACTTTAAATATTCGTGAAATGGGACATCACACAGCCAATATAGGTGGACGTGCAAAGAAAATTCTGAACAGTGCTAGAAAATGATATAGATGTGCTTGTTGTTACTGTGCTTATGATTATTATTAGTTTTGTATGATATTTATTGAATAATTTTAATTGATTTATATTTGTTGTTATTGGTTTAGCTTTACCTATTAACTATTTTTTTACACAAATAAGACTGTTTTCAAATTAAAGAAAAAACAAACTGTTATTGTCTATTTATTAGATCTATTTTAGGATTAAAAAAAAGACTTTACATAGATTACTATGAGACATAGACAAAATGCTGATTTATCACTTCATATATTTTAGATTTATTTATCTTTTGAAGGAGAACCGTCCTGCGTAGGGCGAGAGGAAGTGTCACTTTTACTGACTAAAAATCATTCCGTACCTTCAACTGCACCAGGCCGGGGCCGCGCTACATATAACCCGCAACCCCGGCAAACTAAGCGCGGTAGATACGTGTAAGCAATATAATTAACTGGCTTCCGCCCGCGTGAAATGTTGATACAATGTAGCTGTTCTATAGTACTGCCTGACATAGCCAGACTATGCCTTTGCCAAATTTCATCCAGATCCGTCCAGCCGTTTAGGCGTGATTGAGTAACAAAAATCCAGACATCGTAACTTTCGCATTTATAATATTAGTAAGATGTCTCACAAGAGTCGTGATTGAGTGTCTCATAAGGAATACATAAAAAGGATTAGAAAAATAACTTACCAAGGCAACAGTACTGCCAGGCGGTACTTTGAAACTAATATTGTTCAATACAAGTCGTTCCGGCCCGTAGCCAAACGACACGTGTTTGAATTCAACGGCGCCTCGCCTCACTAATAGATCGGGGGCTCCGATGGCGTCCCTTACGTCAGAATCCACTCGCATCAAGTCAAACATATTCTCCATGTCCACAAAGTTCTTTTGTATAGCTCTGTGAAAAAGAAATGTAAACTTTTAGTACATGGATTTTGAGGATGAAGTGTACCTTATACTAAAACTATTTCAATATGATTCAGATTCCAAGTAGTCCATACTCAAAAGGTACTTTTTTCGATTCGGAAAAACAAAAATGAGGTTTTTCCGAATCGAATATTGTATGAACACGAAGTGACGCTATATTTTTTACGCCTAATAGCGAATAATAATGATATCGTAAAATTAATTTGAATATTTGTAAGGTTTTATAAGTGGAAATAATTTCTTTTTGACAGTAGAAGTTACGCAATTGAGTCTCTTATAGCGACAAAAGGTTAAAAACAAGCTATTTCGGTTATTTACGTGATAATTGTAGATTCCGTGGATAACATAACTATTTTAGTACAAGTTGGAAAGCAGATAGTGTGCTTTGAAGAAACGCAGATGTTAACAAGAAAATAAGTATTTCAATTAAGTTTCTTATACTGGGGTAAGAGGTGAAATAAGTTTTTTTCCTTATT